GTCTGCACGGGAGCAGTCTTACAGCTCGCTGCGTGACGGCAAATGTACAGGGTAGATGGCAGGTCTGCAGGCAGCCATGGATGACGGCAGGAGCCCCAATTGCATTGCAGGGTCCCCGCGTGGACTGTGTCCCCTCGGACTCTCCCCGGTCAGGCTGGGGATGCTCCGGGGGCCCTGGGGGGGGGGGGGGGGCAGTGCCGCCAACTGCAAGGTCAGCAGTCTGACCTTGGGGGGAAAGGCGGGGCTTCGTGTCCCCGAAAAGAGTCACAGTGTCAGCAATCCGCACAGGCTGCTGTCCCCCGTCCTGTATGGTCACTAGCGGTCAGCGGTGAGGGGTGGATAGCAGGGGCTTTGCAGCGAAGGTCAGTAGTCTTGGCCCCCGGCAGAGTGCGTTAGGAAGGGGGGGACCTGTGCCCCTCCCCAGCCAGCCCAGGAAGGGTGGGCACCCCCAGGGGCTCGCCTGGGGGTGTCCAGGGTGGACAGCACTGGGCTGCGTCATTACAAGTCCTGTCCCATGAGTCAGACGCTGCCTGCCTCGGGCAGAAGACTTCACATCTGCCTCGGAAGCCCTTCTCTCACGCGACCCCATCCTCCGGGCCCTCCCGGGCCCTGCTTCAGTAGCCCCACCTCTACCTGAGGTATAGAGTCATTTTGTGGGTACAACACAGACCCCCCCACATCTCAAATACCATTTAAAGACTGTTTGGAGTCTGCAAGAGGACCGGCTGAAAGCCCCCCGGGAGGCGGAGGGGCACCCTGGTTGCCACCCTGGGCCTCGGCACAGGGACCGTGTGACCGGCGTGCCTGGTTCTGCTGTGCATGGAGGGGGGTCGCTCTGCGTCGGAGCCGAGTCAAGGGCACCTCGCACAACAGGACAGAAGGACAAACGGACGTGGCCTGGACCTCCAGGGAGGAAGACGGGTTCCCAGAATCCTCAGGAGAAGCCTCGTCCACCCAGAGGCCCCCTTGGCTGTGACCCCATTGGCAGCCTGGACTCCACCCCTTCGCTCTGGACCCTCAAACTGACCCCCGAGGATGTAGCAACCGCAGTGGACCAGGACGGGGAGGGCACAGGAGACTGACCGCGTTGGCCACAGGAGGAATGAGAGACACTGGACAATGGGAGCCTGCGTGGGGCATCGTGTGACACGGGAGCTTAGGAGACGCACCCAGGCTGGGGGGTGTCCGGCTCGGGCCCTGGGGGTGTTTCCCATCCACGCAGGCCCCAAGGGACGCTGCCCCTCACTGGCTCATGCTGACCCTTCCCACTCCCACCCCTGCCCCACGTCAGGGTCATGGACGGCCGCAGCCTCCTGCCCCTGCTGCGAGGGACGGCCCAGCACTCGGCCCACGAGTTCCTGTTCCACTACTGCGGCTCCCACCTGCACGCCGCCCGATGGCATCACACGGACAGTAAGTACCGCCGGGCTCCGGGCTCTGCCTGTCTCGTCCGAAGGAGAGCGGTCATCCAGATGAGAGCGGTCATCCAGATGAGAGCGGTCATCCGGAAGGACCGAGAGGACAAGGCCCTGTACGGGGACGCTGTGTTCCTCGGGGCTGGGGCGTGGGGGGGAGGCACTTGTGTGCGACAAGGGGGTGCCCTGGTGGTCTTGGGCAGTGTGGCTGCTGCAGCTCTGGCTGGCTCAGACATCCCAGGCAGCGAGAAGTGAGTGTGTGTGTGTGTGTGTGTGTGTTATACACGCGTGTGCACATACGTCTGAGAACGCACTGCCGTGGAGGCGCTTTCAACCCTGCAGGAGAGAGCGGCC